CGGATAAAAAATATCCTAAAGAGACTATAGATATATAATAAAGATATATAAAAGTTTATTACTAAAAAATAGGATAAAAAGTAATATAGCTAATACTCTCTAAAGGTATAATATAATAACTACCTATATTAGATAAATAATCTCTAAGATACGTCTATATCTTTACTACTATATATATAATTTAGCCTAAAAAGACGCCTAAAGCTAATCTATAACCTAATTTATTAATAAAACCTATATTAAAGGGGGCGGAGGGGATAGGGGAGGTAAAGAGAGTATAGCGTAAGAAAGACTAAAAAGTATAACTATACCTATATAGATATCTCGAGTTAAAGTATTCTATATACCTTAAAACCCTTATATAATTATAAGGAACGATATATTCTACGCGGGGGTAGTATAGGGCGCTAAGATATAAGTATTAGCTTAAGCGTTAAACTTAGAATCGACCTAAGGAACGTTAATAACCGCTAATATAAGTAGAGATCTATACTTACTATTATATAAAACTACTACTTCTTTATATAATAGTTATATTAGGGAGTATTAACGTTAATCCTACTAGGTAGAGGGATATATATATACCTTAGATTATATCTAAGATAGTCTATATAATACCGATACTATATACTTATAGGGTTAGTAGGAGAGATAATAGCTAGAGAAATATAATTATTAATAGAGGTATATATTATACTTACGACCGGAGGAAAGGGAGCTACTATAATAAGTCGAAATAACCTATAGTAAGAAAGGCGAAGCGACGAAAAAGCTATAGTCAAAGGACGAGGAAGTATAGGAAGAAGAAAGCTATAACTCGAAGAGAGATAAGTGAAAAATATATAAAGAACTTAGATTATACGCGACGAAGAGAGATAACGCTTAAAGCTCTAAGTCTAGCTATACCTTCTACTATAAAGATAAATTACCCTCTTTTAGATAGCTAGATATATATACTATTTTCGAACCCTCCCTACCTTAACTATAAGAGACCCTCGACCCCCGACCCTTAGCTACGAGGACGTAACTCTTTAAGGAGGGGGAAAATGTTACGACCCTCTACTAGGAGAGTGCCTTATAGGCTAGATCCCGCCTAGTCCTATAACCTAGAACCCGTAACCTAGTAAGGGTAGTATAACCCCCCGCTAGAGACCGCACTAGGGAGACTAAGTCCTACCGGGTTAGGTAACCTAGTCCTATAACCCGCTAAAGGTTATCTATATAGAGACTACTAGGGGAACTTAGCTCTTTAGCGATTAGTTTATAAATATACTAGTACCCTACTATTCCTTCACTCTAGTTCTATATTACCTACTAGGACCCGCTAGCACGCTAGTCCTAATATTTTTACTAGATTTTTACTAGACTTTTACTAGACTTTTACTAGATTTTTACTAGATTTTTACTAGATTTTTACTAGATTTTATATAAGGGCTTACTTACTTTATACTCTATAAGTCTATAAACTAATTAATATAAAGCTAATATCTTAGTCTATTTAATTTATTATCTCTAATCTCTATCTACTATTTTTAATTATAAATTATAATATTACTCTTTTACTTTCTTTACTATATTTATATCTATATCTTAAAGCTAGTAATCTAATTTTGTATTATTCTTTTATAAGAGAGAGACTAATAATATCTTATATCTATTAGTTTAACTATCTACTCCCTTCTTAAGCTATTCTATAATTAATAAAAGTTTTAGATATCTAATTAAACTACCTCTAATTCTACTTTCTCTTTAGTATATTAGTCTAGATCGAAAGAAGGTATTTATCCTCTATAACTAAATAATATATACTAAATAGGTAGATTAGTAGCTATAAACTAACTTTAGTTAGAAAAGTAAATTTAAATAGGACTTAGCTTATAATATAGAGGTTTAGTAAAACTACTATTAAATTATATATAGTATAAATAGTATACTAAAGATTATATATAAATACTATAGAAAAGTATTAGAATATCCTTATTTAACTATACTAGGTTATAATATAACTAAAATATATTATTATAATATATCTATAATATAAAAATATCTTAAAACTACTATATATATATATCTTAAAGATAGAAAGAAATCTAAGATTATAAAGTTCCTTTAAAAAAAGGTATATCTATTATTATATATAAAGTTTAATAATACTAATAGATTCTAATTCTTTTACTATCTAAAAAGATCCTTTAATATAGAATAGACCTTTCTTATAAAAAGATTAAAAGAAAGATATCCTATAATTTCTTACCTTAAATCGCTTACTTTTTTACCTAATTAAATACTTAACCTTTAAATATATAATTACTAAGACCTACTTAACTTTATTTAACTTATTAATTCTATTATTTAATACTATTTACTATTAGTTAGAGAGTATAATTAAAGACTAATATTAATATATTCTATAGTTACTATCTCTTAGATTAAAGATATTAATTATATTTAACTATTAGATATCTCTTTTTTTATAGATATTTATAGCTATTATTAGCTATTTTATTAATTCTAATTAGGTTTACTATAAGATACTTCTTAGTTTTAAGCCTTTTTATAGTATATATACTAAAGTAAATCTAAGTACTATTCTATTAAATATTTTACTTAAGTATAATCTTAAGAATAAAGTATTTAGTTTAATAATAGATAATATCTCTAATAATAAAACTTTAGTAGACTCTTTTTAGTAAACTTTCTCTAATAATATTATTATTATCTAAATTCTCTATTTTATCTATATTATCTAATTAAGCTTAAATTAGCTTCTTAATTATATTAAGATAGCTTTATTAAATAATTTAGTTAAGATAAAATAGATAGAGAAGTAATTAAGACTAATTTATATAAATATATAATATTAAAAATATAATATCTTAGTTACCTTAAATAAGATTCGCTATCTTATTATCTATATTAATATTAATTCTTAGTATTAAGAGATATTTATAGTCTTTAGATAATCTTAATAAAATTAGTACTAATCTAAAATATATAAATCTATTAGAACTTAATATTTCTTATATTTTATTAAGTATTATAATTATAGCCTTTTTTTATCTTATTTTATTAAGAATATAACTATAAAGAGCTTCTACTTTATAGTAAAGAATAGCGTTAAGTTTATTATCTTCTTTATATTACTAAACTATTTTTTAACTATACTATTTAGCTTTCTAAGACCTAAGATATTATAGTATATTATATTTTTAAGGTTTATAATAAATTATTTTACTAATTTAAAAATTTAATAACCTAGCTCTAATATAAGTAGGTTTTTATTAAGGTAACTATTTATTAAGGTAGTACTTATTAACTAGGTGAATAATAATACGAGAGGGATACGTAGTTAGAGTGAGGGGTATTTGATTCTATATTAGTTATAAGACTAAATCTTACCTTCTCTATCCCTCTAAGTGTCTTCCTTTTATAATTTAGGTTCCCCGCTTCTCGGAACCGGATTATATTAGTTCTATCCCGATATCGTAGGGTATTCGGAGGGGTCTTCTCTATCTAAGAGAAAGGGAGCCTAAGGTAAAATAGTATAATAAAGAAATACTATAATAGTTTTATAGAAAAAAAATATACTATAAGTACTAAAAGCTAAGTATATAAAACTTAATAAGTATTACTCTTAGACTAATAATATTTAAGGATATATATATATAATTAGTATTATACTTATATTTATAAATAAGTTTAAATTCTTTTTAATTAGTAACTAAGACTAAAAATAATATAATATATATTAAAAATTATTTTAAGAAGCTTTAATTCTATATTAAGAGAAACTTCTCTCTACTAACTAAAAGGTAAGAAGCTTATAGCTTATTACTTATTTAAGTATAAAACTAGATAAGATATTAGATAAAAGTAAAATACCCTTTTAAGTAGTCTTAGATAAAATAACTTAATATCTTAATAATAGTAAGTCTAAATCTTATTTATATATTAAAAATTTATTTACTTAAATAGATATTATCTATATTAGTCTATTTATATTCTAAAAAGAAAACTATATTTATTTTTTAGTAATTACCGCTTTTATTTATAATATACTCTTTTTTTAATAACTAATATAAATATTAAATATCTATTTAATACTATTTAAGATATTTATTATTACTATTATAATAGAATAAAATCCTATACTATTAAAGATTTAATAATATTTCTTTATATAACTAGATTTAATATAAAAGAGTAAGAACTAAGATTTTTAGAGAAATTCTTTTTCTAAGAAGAAATTAAGGTTATAAAGGAAGAGAGAGAGAAAAAGCTTAAGATTATTAAGATTAAACTAATTAGTAATATAGAGAAGTAAGAGGATAGTATCTAAGAGGATAATACTTCTTTAATTAATATTAATATTAATTCTAGGCCTAATTTACTAATACTTTCTAAAATAACCTAGATATAAAGCTTAAAAGGAAAGCGGAAAAATTAAAAAGATAATAATTATATATATTTAAATTAAATATTAATTATTAATATATTATTTATCTACTAATATTATAATATTAATATTCCTAGACTTACTAAAAAATAATTCTATATAAAAAATAATTATACCTATTAGGGATTATAAAGTAAATACTTAAATATATAGGGAAAATCTATATAAGTTATAAATCCTATAATTTAAAGTATTTATATTATTTATAACCTAACTTAAGGCCCTAACGACCTAGCCGGGTCGAAGGCTATAACCCGGACCTAACCCTAGTGCGAAGGTATAGCCCTAAAACCTAACCTAAGTTAGGTTGGGTCCGGGTTAGGTTAGGTTTTTTCTAGGTTCTGCGGAAGTCTACTAATAGCTATCCTACGTTAGAAGACGAATATATAGGATAAACTAAACTTCCGGTATACCGATCTCTTACTCCGATATCTTAATATAATATTCATTTTAGACGCCTTTTCTTATAAGAAGAATGCACTACCGTTTCGATACGTAAAGTGCTAACGGGTATTACGTATAAAGATTCGTGTCTATTTAACCCCTATGACCATAATTCCAGGCGTAGTGACTGAAACCATGAAGCCTCGGAGACAAACGGCGAAAGGATACTATCAATCCAAAGGGACCAGTCGTCATCCCATCGTAAAGCACAGACGGCTAAGCAATATTCCCAATATCCTGGATACCATCCAGACTTTTCCCAATCAATTATCACGAGGCGTGAACCTTCTTGGTCTTGATGAATTTTCTCGCATAGGATGATATTTTTCCTTTGCAAATCACCGTGGGTGAATGTCGCTTTGTGGCCCTTGAAAATAAAAGGAAAGCACCTTCGAAGATATTCCGCTCTGTAGAGTGGGCCTCCGTTGTAGGTGTACTTTCGTAACATTGCTTCGTTGAGGTCTTCTTCAGAGTAAAAAGGACCGTTCACCAATGGATCTGGCTCGTGTGTCCAAAATATCTCATCCAGAAGTCGTCTTTGGTCGAAACTGCCAAAGTACTTTGGGGATGGAAGCTGGCGCAAGTCATCAAAGTATCTCCGTAGGTCTTTCAGTATTTCTTCTTTCTCTGGTGTTGTAAGTTGCGGCCATGCTGAAAGAAGTGTTTGACCGAGAATGCGCTCCATGACAATGAAATTTTTGCCTGTCCCTGGGTCCGAATAGAGGGCGAAGACCCGCGGGACAGGGATGTTTGTTTTCTCCCGAACAAACAACATATTTTCTCCTTCAATGAGATTGACACCCAGTCCGAATTTCACAACAAAATGCTGGCCTACTCCGACTATTCTTCGTCCTCCATATTCCATGGATATGTCCGGGGCGTTCTCGATTTCGGTATCGGTGGGTAGCGGGCAAGGCAAGTCAGTTGCATAGAACGGAATTTCAAATGATGTCTTCATCATCGCTCAACATCGGTCAGTTGGTAGACTGAGGGGTAGACTGAAGGGTAGGGAGGTGGCAACGAAGAGAGTGACAGCTGTTTTCATTCATCAGGACAATGATGCAAACACCCTACATGTGTACGTTTGTTTGTCTTCATCACGTGGTAGCCGCCCGCCGGTGATGAGACCCCAGTAGCCGTCTTCCAACGTAGGATAGCCCCACCCCCTTTGGGGGTTTGGGTCTATCACCCTCAAAAGAAATTAACTCTTAAAAGAAGATTCTGCGATCAGGTACTCTTTGTATGGTAGTACCATATAAAAGGTACCTTACACAAGATATCCTAAAAGCTTGAGATTTCTCAACCCTCAAACCGGCTAGAGGGGAAATAAAAATACGAATGTAAATTATAAGTATACTTTAATCAATTTATCATTTTGTGCTATACGAGACTAAAGGGTTCATCCTGAACAATGTCGCCATCCACAAAATCTATACAGAAATTTCAAATGCCCAATATATCTTTACCAACTCATGGTACTATACTATAGTTGATCCAAATAAAGTAAAATCATATTTAAACAAGGTATATGAAATTAAAATCTCCTAAGCTACCATGGGGAATCAGAGGACCTCAAATATGCGATATCCAACACTGAGGTACCTTTTGTATGGTAACACCATATAAAAAGTACCTGATTTCAGAATCTTCTTTTAAGAGTTAATTTCTTTTGAGGGTGATAGACCCAAACCCCCAAAGGGGGTAGGGCTATCGCGAAGACGGATACGATTTGAGTTCAGCAATATAGTAGAGTCGGATCCGAGAGATGCAGTATGTAGTGGTACTAGAATAAGCCATTCAGGCCATTACACGGTCCTTGAGGTGTAATTTATTATATGAATCTGAGAGCAAAATAAAGGGGGCTCCCATATGCTGGTTTAGCAATTGATGTCTTAGGAACCAGGAAGCGGTCGGTGTTGAATGAAACCAACGACGCTAGAAAGATTCTTTTCCACTTTTACCGACAAATTGTTCCAAACGTATAGGCAACACACAGCTGTAGGATATAGGGGATACTTTATACTACGTTGCGCACATAATCGAGGCTAATATCTTCGCCACAATAGAAAGCCATACTTGACTATCGACCAGGTATCCAGGCCTTTAGGTGATTGAATTTGACATCGGCTGCTTACATACTGAGATACAAAAGCTTGTCTAGCCATTATTAATCCCGATGCATATTCAGTTACTCCAGCATCGTCCCTAGATTTATTTCTTGAGAGTTACTATAGGCACCCCTTTTTACTACGGGCACCCCTCCCGCTAAACCCTTTACGATTTCCTTCTAGCTGGCCACTGCCCTTACCACCCCCCGTATTACTAATCTGGTTCCCCCCTAGTATTACCTATTATCATCACATGACTAAATTACTACCCTTATCCCCCAGAAATATTATATTCCTACATTCGCTTAATTTTATAAAGCTATTCTATAGTCGTTTAGGTTCATAAAGCTATTCTAAACTATAGGGTACTAGATAGAGATTATATAGATATAATATTTTTAATCCAATTAAAATAGCTAATACTAATCTAGGTCACAAATAAAGCCAAAAATTACTAATTTCCGTAGAAATAAGGGTGTAGAGTTTTCGAAAAGGGGGGTTATATAACCTCAAAATAGATACTGATTTTCAAAAGTAGTACTAAACGACTATTTAGCTCCTAGTGTATATACGCCTACTACGTAAGGTATAATACTTATCCTACTATCTAATTATACCTACTCCGTACTAACTTTAGGTATAGTATATAGTTTACCCTTAATATAGAGCCCCCTATACCTAGTCTCCCTAATACTACGCCCCCCTTTTAAATCGTCGAAACCGCTACGCTATCTATTAAGGAGTCCTAAAAGTAGGCGCTTAAAACCCTTAACTAGTGGGCTCTTCTACTAGGCTTCTTAGTTATAATAATACGTAGTAAGCCTCGCGTAATATAGTTCGAGTATAACCTTAGTCGTAGTTATCGCACTAATCGAGCCTTAGTGATACGGAAACGTCTATACTAGAGCCGCTTAATAGGCTATATATTTATTAGGAGACTTCGGCTTATCGCGAGTAATATATAGTAGCTAGAGATCGCTAATACTAGCTATAATTATAGTTTAGTTACGTCCTCTACTTCTATTATTACTTACTAAGTTAAAACTAAGTATATACTATCTACTATTAAGAGTTAGATAGCTAACTAGATATCGACTTATTAGATTACGGGTATAATATAGGAAGAGGTAGAGTTATAAGGGCGATAGTCTTACTTACGGCCCCGTAATATTACTAATCGGCGGGCTAAGATAAAGCTTTAACGGTTAGCTAGACGTACCCTAATATAGGTACTTCTTATAGATCTCCCTAAAGATAGTAGCTAGATTATTCGATATAAGGTTAACACCGTTAATAACTCCCTTACTACCCTCTTTATAGTCTATAAAACTAGTCTCTAGCTCCTACGTGCTAATCTATATATCCTATAGATAGACTATACGTATAAAACTAATAAATAGAAGATACCCCTTCTTAATATTATAGGGGCTTCTTTAGTTAGGAGGACCTTTTATATCGTATATAGCTTCCTTACTAGCGAGAAGGAAGCTTTATATTATAGGGTCCTCTACTAGTTAAGGGAGATCTATACTACTATTTATATAGGAGCTAGTATACTAATACTAGCTTATGCTACTATAGCTAAGTCCCCTAATCTCCCTATAACTAATCTCCCTATAACTAAGCTTCCTATAACTAAGCTTCCTATAACTAAGCTTCCTATAACTAAGCTTCTTATAACTAAGCTTCCTACGATAATTCCCTAAGCCTAGCTAGAAAGCCTCTATCTAATACACTTTACGTTAATATATAATTTTCCGCTAGGGCCTATACCCCCTATTATACTTCCTTAAAATAGTCCACTAACTATTTTAACGGATAAGGAGTAGGCTATTCGTAATACTATCGGAAGGGTAAGATAATCTATTATTATAATATCTAGTTTACTAATAATCCTATATCTAATAGGCTTTCCTAGCTACGAATATAATACTATACTCCTAGTATATAACCTATAATATCGAGTGCTACGCTAGGCCTTATATCCGTCGCTAAGTCCTTCGGGTTTTAGCCGAAAAGGCTAATAACTTTACTAGATCTACTACCGAAGAGATTTAACGTAAGATTACTATATAATAGGCTATAATAAAGGGTGACTAGTATTAAATCGTCTTCGTACGGGAGGTTTACGAGATAGAGACTTAATAGGCTACTTTTAAAGAGAAGTATTAATACTTCCTAGCTCTACTATAATATATTAATAGAGAGTAGATTCGTAGTTATAGCCCCTATTTCTTACGGTACTATACCCGTAGGTTTTTATATCTTAATAAGACTTTAACCTTATAGATAGAAGCCGTATACCGCTATCTTAAACTCGATATCTAAACTAGAACTAAGGATCTCTTAGCTCTTAGTACTAAGTTTAAACGTACGACTAAGCGACTTACTACTTAGATCTACTAGGAGCTTACTATATAACGGGGGGTATAGAAGATTAGTAGTAGTATATTATTTACTAAAGTTAAGACTTTAGTTACTACCTATATAATTAAAAAGGTATAAGTAGTATTTAATTACTATCTACCCGCTAATAATAATAAGCCTATAATTCTACTAATATACTTAGGCGAGTCTATAAATACTTAGGGGTATCTATATATTTACTATATTAATAAAGCCTAGGTAAGAGGTTAGAGCTTTACCTAGGCTTAATTCTATCTATAGTATTAGATCTAAATAACACTAAAGGCTAGTTACTATAGGGTACTCGAGCTCTAGATATAAAACCCCTTAGTTATACGAGGACGTAGTCGGCTAATAATATCCTTATAGTAGTCCTTATAGTAGTCCTTATAATAGTCCTCGTAGTAGTCCTCGTAGTAGTCCTTTATCCCGCTATTATAGGTATTATAGCGTTTTAAAAACTTAGTCCGCCGGGAGCTATTATAATTTAAGATTATACGCGTATAGGAAGAAGAAATTATCCGATAATTAGGATAGCGGAGACCGGTAAATCAAAGGTATAATAATAATTAGACTATATAGGGGGAGATAACTAAGTCTAATAATTAGATCGCGGTTAGCGGTATCATAACTAGGAGAGTTAGGGGACGGGGTAGGGAGAGAGGTAGGGGACGAGGCAGAGCTTAGTGAGATTTATATCTAATTTATATAGTAAAGAATGACAGAGTTTAATATTTAAGGGGTTCTAAGCTAGTAGGGGCACTAGGAGCTAAATAGTCGTTTTACACTACTTTTAAAAATCAGTATCTATTTTAAGGTCATATAATCATCCCCTTCGAAAACTCTATACCCTCATTTTCACCTAGATTAGCACCCTACACCCTCATTTCTACGGGACTACGGGAATAGCTTCATGAAATTAAGCGAATGTGGGAATATGATATTTCTAGGGGATAAGGGCAGTAATTTAATCATATGATGATAATAGGTAATACTGGGGGGGAACCAGATCAGTAATACGGGGGGTGGTAAGGGCAGTGGCCAGCTAGAAGGAAATCGTAAAGGGTTTAGCGGGAGGGGTGCCCGTAGTAAAAAGGGGTGCCCATAGTAACTCTCTATTTCTTAAGGATCCCCGCATTGACCAATGCATTTACAGCTTCCTAGGTCCATTCCTGGCAGCGACGAAGCGGTTCCTTTGGATAAAGTCTTCGAGGTCCTTCAAATTGCTTTTTTGGCGGAGGGATGCTCTCGCAAGTCGGTAGGATGCGGGCAAAATCAGCTGCGGCGACCCTCCCAATGACTTCTTTGCTTTGGTAGGTCCCTGACTCTTCGGGCTTTTTGGCAGGCTTATCGTTGTGTTTCATTCCGTTCTGTATGTCACCGGTGACCTGGAACAAATGACCAGACTGGTCGTTCTTCATCTCGACGAAAATGGCGTGATGGTCCCGGGGAAGGCCAGCATAAGAGACTCGATAGACATTGTACGACATGTCTGAAGATAAAAGTCAGCTATTGAACAGGTATCGCCGTCATAGGGGATATATGTACTTTCAGATATGGCTACCTTGAGAATCAACTTGAACAGCTTGTTGTCATATTCTCTCCAACCGAATATTTATATCCTCGATGATACGTTTCAACAAGATTTTGTTGGCTATTATTATCCTATACTCTTATTCACCAGCCTATCAAGTATGCAAATTACACCCTAAGCGCCATCAAAGGGAAACAAACGTACATTGCAGCAACTAGTGCACGGGCTTGGGCATCCAATTATGCCCCACCAATGAGGCCAGTTCTAAGATGACAACCCTTTGCTCATCTGCCACAGAATAGCGGTATTGAGCATTCGATCCCTGGCGCGCGCAATGTCTCGGCGATAGCGAATCCTCATTGGTTGAAAACAGCCATATCTTCCTATCTCCGCCCCAACCCATGAGGGCTTTGACGAACCTTTTTCAAATAGTCGATTACTATAGCGATGTGATCCGCAACACAAAAATATTGGGGGGATGGCAGCTGAGTTGGCTGGAATAAGCGCCATAGTGGATCAGCTGCATCGCTGACCTCCGATGTGTTGGCGATCCGCCCAGTCAACTATGAGGCGGATTCTGATTGGAGCCGGATCATCAGATAATTTGCTTCGACCATCTGGGTCCGGACTCGCGCGCTTCGTGTAACAAAGCCTCGGCGGCAACGAATATACACTCATTGCTTCAGTGTGCTCTCCACACCCACATATTGGCAAAGATGCGTCATACAGCCTGCTCTAGCACTGGTACTTGTAGCCTCACTGCGAAGAATTGGTAGAAGAGTAGGGCATCATAGGAAAAATGGACAGGGATCGAGGTGGTTGTATTCGATGGTTGTCTAGCACTCGGTCACGTTTTCTGGGAGCACGTGGGCTCTCCAGTTTCCATGGTATATTTAGAAGTCCGGGCCAAGATGACCCCACTAGGGATCCCATCACCGTAGAGGATTTGGTGCTTTATAACTTCCGGGTGGTACTAAGCTTCGATCACATAATTTCGTTGACGCACACGCTTCACGTAACAAAGCCTAGACTTCCGCAGAACCCAGAAAAAACCTAACTCAACCCGGACCCAACCTAACTTAGGTTGGGTTTTAGGGCCATACCTTCGCACTAAGGTTAGGTCCGGATTATAGCCTTTAACCTAGCTAGGTTATTAGGGCCCTAAGTTAGATTATAAATAATATAAATACCTTAAATTATAGGATTTATAACTTATATAGATTTTCCTTATATATTTAAGTATTTACTTTATAATCCCTAATAAGTATAATTATTTTTTATATAGAATTATTTTTTAGTAGGTCTAAGAATATTAATATTATAATACTAATAGATAAATAATATATTAATAATTAATATCTAATTTAAATATATATAATTATTAGACTTCCGCACGCACCGGAATTAGGTCGAATATCCCGACCTAGCACCGGACCTAGGTTAGGTCCGGTGCTAAACCCCCTAACCCGGGCCTATACTGGACCTAACGTTAGGTTCACTGGATAACCTAATAAAAACCTAATTAGATCTAACTTTTATATAATTCTCTATATAAAGTGCCTTACTTATCTAAATTAACCACTATAATTTTTCCTTATTTTAGTTATATTAAGAAAGACTTTAATATTTAGTAGTATAGTAAGTTAAACTTAATAAAATATCCTTATTTATTAGTATTTAAGGTCTAGTAATATATTAATTACTTAATAGAATATAAAATTTCTTATAAAATAATACTATAATTAGTAGGGTTAGAAAACTTATATATTTAAGTAGTAGAAATATATATTTATAATATATAGTTCTAGTATAGTTTTTCTAATACTAAAGAAATAATTAGAATAATAGTAAATTAGTCTAATTTTATAAATCTTCTTTATTAGAGAGTAGTTTCTAGTAAAAATAAATATTATTAGTACCTAGATATTATTATATTTACTTAATAATCCTTTAATTCTAAAATATTTAGTTAAGACTAAGTATTTAGGGTAAAAAATTCTTAAGTAATTTTCTATATTAATATAAGAGTTAGGTTTTTATTAGATTTTTACTAGGTTTCCTAGATTTTTATTAGGTTTTCTAGGTTTTTACTAGATTTTTATTAGATTTTTACTAGATTTTATATAAAGGCCTACTTACTTTATACTCTATAAGTCTATAAACTAATTAATATAAAGCTAATATTTTAGTCTATTTAATCTATTATCTTTAATCTTTATCTACTATTCTTAATTATAAGTTATAATATTACTCTTTTACTTCTTTTACTATATTTATATCTATATTTTAAAGCTAGTAATCTAATTTCGTATTATCTTTTTATAAAGAAGAGGCTAATAATATCTTATATCTATTAGTTTAACTATCTACTCCCTTCTTAAGCTATTCTATAATTAATAAAAGCTTTAGATATCTAATTAAACTATCTCTAATTCTACTTTCCCTTTAGTATATTAGTCTAGATTAAAAGAAGATATTTATCCTTTATAACTAAATAATATATATTAAATAGATAGATTAGTAGCTATAAACTAACTTTAGTTAGAAAAGTAAGTTTAAATAGGACTTAGCTTATAATATAGAGATTTAGTAAAACTACTATTAGATTATATATAGTATAAATAGTATACTAAAGGTTATATATAAATACTATAGAAAGATATTAGAGTATCCTTATTTAACTATACTAGATTATAATATAACTAAAATATATTATTATAGTATATCTATAATATAAGAGTACCTTAAGACTACTATATATATATATTTTAGAGATAGGAAGAAATCTAAGATTATAAAGTTCCTTTAAAAAAGGGTATATTTAGTATTATATATAAAGTTTAATAGTACTAATAAGTTCTAATTCTTTTACTATCTAAGGGGATCCTTTAATATAGAATAGACCTTTCCTATAAGAAGATTAAAAGGAGGATATCCTATAATTTCTTATCTTAAACCGCTTACTTTTTCACTTAATTAAATACCTAATCTTTAAGCGTATAATTACTAAAGCCCGCTTAGCTCTATTTAATCTATTAATTCTATTATCTAATACTATTTACTATCGGTTAAGGAGTATAGTTAAAGACTAATATTAATAAATCCTATAGTTACTACCTTTTAGATTAAAGATATTAATTATTACGGAGCGAAGCGAAGTAATTAAATTATAGGCTTCGTATATTATATAACTAGGCCTATCTACCTACGGGTCCGAAATCTATAGTTCTAATATTATTAGTAAGAATTAGTAGAATAATTATTAGCTATTACTATAGTAGGGGATAGAGAGGGCTAGGGTATATCGGGTTACGTAATCTACCTAGAGTAGGGATAGAGAGGGCTAGGGTATACCGGGTCACGTGATCTACCTAGAGTAAGAGCTAGGGCGTACTATAGCGCGGAATTACCTTAGAAAGCCCCTACCCCCCCCCCCCCGCGGGGGGGGGTAAAGGGGGGGGGAGGATTTATTCCTTAACTAGGAAATACTAAGCTTATAAGAGAGGAAGAGTAGAAGCTATACGCCCTAAATATAAAGAAAACCGCGCGTAGCGCGGAACCCCCCGGAGGGGCCCCCCTAGGTAGGGGGTATAATTTAAATTCTATAACTAGGAAATACTAAGCTTATAAGAAAGGAAGAGAGGAAGATATATAAAGGAGAGTAGTTTAATTTATATTTAGTCTATATAATCTCGGACCTAGTCGCTTCGCTCTATAACTATTATCCGACGGCCGTAGGCCGTCGGATCGCTAGTATTTAACTATTAGATATCTCCCTTTTTATAGGTATTTATAGCTATTACTAACTATTTTATTAATTCTAATTAGATCTACTATAAGGTACTTTTTAGTTTTAAGCCTCTTTATAATATATATACTAAAGTAAATCTAAGTACTATTCTATTAGATACTCTACTTAAGTATAACCTTAAAAATAAAATATTTAGTTTAATAATAGATAATATCTCTAATAATAAGACCTTAGTAGACTCTCTTTAGTAGGCTCTCTTTAATAGTATTATTATTATCTAAATTCCCTATCTTACCTATATTATCTAACTAAGCCTAAATTAGCTTCTTAATTATATTAAGATAGCTCTATTAAATAATTTAGCTAAAATAAAATAGATAGAGAAGTAATTAAGGCTAGCTTATATAAATATATAATATTAAAAGTATAATATCTTAATTACTTTAAATAAGGTTCGCTATTTTATTATCTATATTAATATTAGTCTTTAGCGCTAAAAGATATTTTATAGCCTTTAGATAATCTTAGTAAAATTAGTTCTAATCTAAGATATATAAACCTATTAGAATTTAATATTTTTTATACTTTATTAAGTACTATAACTATAGCCTTTCTTTATCTTATTCTACTAAAAATATAACTATAAAGAGCTCCTACTTTATAGTAAAGAATAGTATTAACTTTATTATCTTTTTTATATTACTAAGCTATTCTTTAACTATACTACCTAGCTCTCTAAAACCTAAGATATTATAACGTACTATATCTTTAAGGTCTATAATAAATTATTTTACTACTTTAAAAATTTAATAACCTAGCTCTAATATAAGTAGATTCTATAGAAAAAAATATACTATAAGTACTTAAAGCTAGATATATAAAGCTTAATAAGTATTACTCCTAAACTAATAATATTTAAGAGTATATATATATAATTAGTATTATACTTACGTCTATAAATAAGTTTAAATTCTTCTTAACTAATAACTAAGATTAGGAATAGTATAATATATATTAAAGATTATTTTAAGAAGTCTTAATTCTATATTAAAAAAAATTTCTTTTTACTAATTAAGAAATAGGGAGCTTATAGTTTATTATTTATTTAAATATAAAGCTAAATAAAATATTAAATAAAAATAAAGTATTCCCTTAGATAATCTTAAATAAAATAATTTAATATCTTAATAATAGTAAGTCTAAAA